CCTAGAAGAGTGACAGACTAATGTTTACTCACAGATTCTCACTGACCAAGATCACTTAAGTGGTAGGTAATGAAGATAGGAATCAGGTCTAGAGAGGTGAGCTGCAGAGTCTATGCATTAGCTCATTCTGCCCTAGAAGCCACCTCCCCACAAGCCAGGAGAGCTACCATGAACAATGTGGTGTGTTTCTTCAAATGTTGTGCATGTGTGTGAAATGAATGAATGTGATCTGCTTTATATATTTAAGTATATAATGTCGTTTTCTCAAAGGAGAGCTCTGGTTTGTAGTCCATCGGCAGTTGTGCTGATAACACAAAGGTGGCACCTCTCTGGCAGTTCTAATCCACCAGCAACTGTGGGGGACAGATGCCCTGTCTCCTCCTGTGTGATTTACAGCCTCTGAAACTTATTGGAGAGTCCACTATGAGTCAGTTCCAAGTTCATAGCAACTAGGGAGTTAATTTTCATGAAGATGAAGTCAGCCTATATGTAGTTTGGAAGATGTTTATCTTTACATCAAATTATTTGTAAATAATTACATATTCTTCTATATGTCCTCTGTATTGTTATATAACATGCTGTTATGTGGGTATATTATGGTTCATTTAACTATAGGTACATTTTTAGATTTTTTCCAATTTCACTAACATCAACACAGTGTGATTATGTTCTCGACTCTGAGACATAATTTCTTCTTTAGGATATCTACATAGACGGTATTTTCAGGCCAATGGGTATGTACATTTTTAAGTTTATAATGGATGTTTTCAAATTGGCTCAAGAGAAATGATGCCAGTTTCCATTTCCACCATAGGACTAGTTTGGAGGCCTATTTTCTAACTCAACAGCTTCTTTTATTATTGTTTTCTAGCCCTAGTGTGAGCTTCTTGGCACAGCTACTGATGTTCCCAGTTTATTCAGTGAAGTCTTGGCCTTTGCTCTTATTCTGGACGCTTCCAGCCTGACTTGAGTGCAGATGCACAATGGCTTTAGAGGCTGCTAAGATCAGGGAGGAAAACTTCCCAGAGTTACAGTGAGAGACAGTGATGAGGGTGCCCGATCTACAAAGGTTGTTTAAAATGCTTCTAATTAAAGATGACATGTCTTTATAAGAAAGAAATTTTTGAGATAGGAAAAATATTAAAACCATCTTTCTACTCTACATAACTATCTTCATTTCATATGCATATATATTTCTTCTTTCCAAGTCCTGGCCACAAGTACATACTTATATGTGTGTGCAGATATGCATATTTGTTTTGTTTATCTATAAATATATAGGGAGCTCTAGTGGCACAGTGGTAAGGAGTTGTGCTGTCAACCCAAAGATAGGCAGTTCAAATCTGCCAGCTGCTCCATGTGAGAAATCACACTCCTGTGTGATTTATAACCTCTGAAAATCCACTGGCGGCTCAGCTATGAGTTGATTCTGACTTGATAGCACATACCAACATAAATATATATTTTTATATAGTTTCTATCCAGTTTCTCTCTAACATTGCTTTATTAATATTTATGGCTACAGTGATTTTTCAACACATGTAAATTGTTCCATTATGTAAATATACTATAATATATTAAAGCAGTGTTTATTAAACTGTGCCTGGCCAACCTTGAGATATTCCAGGAGACTCTGAGAAATCACTGGTTGAGGGGAGAGAGAAGGTGGGAAATTATGGATAAGATGCAGTTAAAACTTTTATGTTATCATTTGAACCAGAGCAGTTAAACTTCTTTCCTTCAGTTTACCCATAGGATTTTAGAACAAAGAGTTTTTCTGATTAACAAAAAGAAAGAAAACCATTAGATTAAGCCATATTCTTGCTATTAGGCATAATTTTTCCAGATGTTTTAAGTAATTATAGATTACATAATATTTAATATCTCTATGCATGGGGTGGGTGTGTGTATGAAGATTTCGCAGAAGTACAGGACCACTAGTTTATATATGTTTGTATATTTTGGGGCACAACTTAGGAAGGAATATTAAAAATAAAGTACCTAAGGACAGTCCAAATGGGAGGTAGGGGGTGTATGTGTGTCTACACCAAAAGAATGAACAAATCTGTCTTGGAGACAGCCAGAATACTCCTTTGATGAGAAAGTAGCCAGACTTTGTCTCTCATGCTTTGGGCAAGTTAGCAGTATTGACCAGTGCCTGAAGAGGGGCATCGTGCTTAGAGAAGGAGAAGGTCAACAAAAAAGAGGAAGAACCTCAATGAGATGAATCAACACAGTAGCAGCAACAGTGGGATCAAACACAGCTACAATTGAGAGCTTGGCCAGGACTAGAAAGTGTCTGGTTCTCTTGTGCAGGGGGTTCTGTGATTCACGACTACTAGATGGCATCTAACAACAACAACATGTATACAGAGAGCAATACAGCTCACCTCTCTAGACCTGATTCCTATCTTCATTACCTACCACTTAAGTGATCTTGGACAGTGAGAATCTGTGAGTAAACAGAAATCTTACATATCTATATATGTAGGCATACAGATATAAAGATTAGTTGATTCATAGATTTTCATGAATTGATACTTGATTCTGAAGGCTAGTAAGTCTGAAATCCTTGGGGCAGGCCACACACTCATGTAAGATTTCTGTTGCAGTCCTGAAACAGAACTCCCATCTTCTCCAAGAAACATCCATTTTTGTTTTCAGAACTTCCAGCTGGTCAAATAAGATCCACCCATGTAATTAGCTCCTCTACTTACAACCATCCAGTTGTAAATATTAATGACATCTACACAATATCTTAGCAGCAATATCTTGATGAGTGTTTGATCCTACAGCTAGGCACCATAACCTAACTATGTTGACACATAAAATTACCCATCATGGTGTTTGTGAGGCTCTGGGGGAAATTCCCAGGAAGACAGTATCCTTAGTGAAAGGTATGGTCATCTGCGTAGTGCTGACCAAGACAGTCAAAATTAGATACAATGTCACCAGAGTGTAAGAATAACTTGTGTGTATGTGTGTTTTCATAATTTATCTTGTTGTTTTAATTGAAAATTGACACTATAGACAGCAGAATGTACAACAATGTTTACATAAACAATTCAGTGACTTTATTTACAGTCTTCAAGTTGTACAACCATTCTGACCTTCCTTTTCTGAACTACTCCTCCCCAGTAGCATGACCTCCATGTCGTGTAAGCTTTCTATCTAACTTCTCAAGTTACTATAAACTATTTAATCTCATATAGATATTTTTAACCATCATGCTCAAAGAAGGCATTGTTTTTTTAATTAAGTTAAACTATTGTCTGCTTTAAAGAAGACTTTAGGGTATATTTTTTAATTTAATCTTTAAAGATTATCATAAGGTAAGGGTTAATTCAGCTTCAGTGGCTCTAGAAAGCCTGTATTCTGTTAGACTGAAATATGGAATTCTGTTCAATTCTGTTCCATATCCCCCCCCCTTTTGATAAGGATTCTTCTTTAAGATTTTTTTCCACTCTGTTTGACCTCACCTTTTCCAACATTATATAAAAAATACTCCTTTGGAAGTAACTGGGAGGGAGTGTCAGTAAAGGCAGAGTGTTAACAAATGATTGGAAAGAAGATAATCAGCGATTGGCCTGCTGCTGATATGACAGTTCTGATGAGAAGAGCATCCAAGGTTTTCCTTTGTCAGTCTGTGACCACAGCATGTCAGTGGCCAGTCATATACCACCAGCCTCTTTTGAGAGTAACTGTGGGTTGAATTTAGATGGTAGTGCCTGAAAGCCCAGAACTAAAAAATAACTTCTTCTGGAAAGCTGAAAGTTAGAAACCGTTCAACTACTGTTTGGCGTTGGTGTGGAACTGCTGTTCAGAGCCAGTAAAAAACCTTCTCTGAAGTAGCAGTGATAACAAGAAACTCTAATGAGTTCCCAAGGAATGTCTGAATCATTCCTTTTTCTTGGAGGTTTCTCAGAGCTTCTGCTAGAGCAGACTCATCAATCCCAGGGCAGACAGAAGAGCACCGGAATAATGGACATAGTGCATGCTAAGTTTACAGAATGGGCTTTTAAAAATCTTCACTTAAATATCTCCCGTAATGAAGGATTATGATGGCTGGTATGACTATGGAGACAAATAAAGTATCTGGCGAATTTTCTTTTATTTGAGAAGGAAAAAACCAGCATGTTTTAGTGGCCTACTTGCCAGACGTTTTTCACCCAAGTTCTAATTGTAACAAGCTAGCCACTTCTGAACACCTGCTGTGTGGCAGGAGCTATACCTGCATTACCACTGGGAATTCTTGCCACCTATGTACTTCCACATTGATACTGTGATCGTGATCTGTGAAGATGCGCTTTGAGTGGCCTATCACGGCCATACAGCCAGTAAACAGTGAGTGCGTAAGTCAGAGCTCAGGTCTGCCTGACACTCTGCCCCCACCCCATTAGGTTCCCCCATTAGGTCACATTCATTCACTTACCTACTGAGAGAACGACAGCCCAATGAGTCTAGCCTCTAGTTTAATTGGCTTAGCACTTATTCATAGCTCAATAGCTGTGAAAGAACCAGGTCATAAAATCCCCTCCCGGCTATTTCCTAAAGCATTTTGATGGTTCTCATGCCTTCTTCCAGGGGTTTCCAGCCCTAAACAAAGAGGAACCTTTGGAGTAACAGTTACCATCCAGAATTCACTTTCAGATAGGAAGGGTAGTCAGGGCACAGAGCTCCTGGTTTATAAAATAGTATGAAAAGGGACATGGGGTTTGTAGAGAGCTCAAAACTTGATGTCTTCAGGGTCTTGATGGCAACTTGGATTAGAGTGACAGGAAATCCAACAGTATGATCCTCAGAGGAGAGCTCCATGGGATATGGTCAAGAACTGAGAGGAGCATAGTGTGAGGCCTGTGGTGACCATAGACTTTGATCCTTGAGTTTTAAGGATGACCTGAAAGGGACACTGGTGTGGGGCTGTAACATTTGAATATGCTTGTATTCCAAGAAACTGGATGAACATCCTCTGCATTTAAAAATTATGTTTTTTATTTCAGCTGTTCATGCCAAGAGCCTGGTAGCCATCTTGCATCTGCTCGTTGCTCTGTCCCAGTATTTCCGGGCTCCAATCCGACTCCCAGACCATGTTTCCATCCAAGTAGTTGTGGTCCAGGTAAGATAAATCCAAGGAACTGCCCTTTAAGGAGATGTAAATGTTGGGATGCTGTGAGGACCAAGGAACAGTAGATAGATGGCTAGAAGGATGAATGAATGCTAGTGTCTTGGCATGTGATATAGATTGGAAGGCATGTGAGCTGTCTGATGCACATTAGCTTTCCCTTGGTAATGTGTGCAAGGAGCTAAAGAATGTGTCCTTGTATGTCAGATAGCCTATGTGGGCTCTGTGTCTGGGGTTTATCTCTCTTTGACAAGAGATTGTCTTTGTCTCTGTATTCTGCTTAGTGCTGGGTGGTATAAGTAAAGCACTCTAGTGGCACAGTGCATAAAGTGTTGGGCTGCTAACTGGTCATCAGTTTGAATGCACGAGGAGATAAATTGGCAATCACTTCCCATAAATATTCACAGCTTCAGAAACTCAGTGGACAACTGCCATGACTTGGCACAGACTCTATGGCAAGAAAGTTTGGGTTTTTGGTTTGATGGTATGTATTTGTGTAGTGGGGCCAGGAAGAAGGATGTGTGTGTGTGTGTGTGTGTGTGTGTGTGCGCGCGCGTGCGCGCACGCGCATGCATGCACAGCAGTTTGCAAGATGTCCTGCAAGCCATGGAAAAGGATCACTTTTTTTTTTTATGATCACTCTTTTTATTAAACAAATGAGGCACAGGTATTTGAGGGAGATGGATGCTTCTGCATGCGAGGGAAGAGGAGAAAGCGAGGGAGTGTACGTGTGTGTATGCATGTGGGTGTGTGTGTATGTGTTTGAGGCAAACTCAACTTCTCTTATCTGAATTGAAGGCACTGCTGCTTTTCAGCCGCCTAGGGAAGCACAGCTGGGACCTCGAGTCATGTTTTCCAGATTGTTGGATGGAATTTCCATTCACATATGGCTGCATAATTTGCACAATGAGGGTGTGCTCTCTCCCCGTGACTATCTCACTCTGCTCCTAAGCCCATTAGATACTCAAATCCAATTTTCTTTTCCATCTTTATGCCCATTTAGCAAAAGGTCATTGTTTTGTTGGTTTGTTTCTGTTCTTTTTCCAAATAAACATGCAGCAAGGGAAAACTCCTCATATGAGCAGCTCCCTGGATCTCCAGGATTCCTGAAGAGACTCCAATATGGGATCTCCGCTGTCCCTTGATGAGGAAAAGCCCTGAGGGCCAATGAACCTTGACTTGCCAGGCTGGCCAGGTCCAGGAGAGAAGAGCTTTGAGCTGAGCTTTCTCAAAGATCAGACGTTAGTGGAAGGGGAGGAGGTGTTAGTGTGGCTGCGATTGTGACTGTGGCTGATGATTCTTCAATCACTTGATCAGTTGTGCCCTAATCCCAATGGAAATTCTTCTGTTCCTTCTGATTGTTTAACTCTGCTTAACATTAAAAACCAAACCTGCCACCATTGAGTCAATTCTAACTTAATGACAACTGCATGTCCCACAGAAGAGAACTGAACTTCAGGGAGGGGTGTTTTGTTGTTGTTGTTGTTTTGATGTTAGAGTCTTTACAGTAGGAAGCCAGGCCGTCCTTTCTTCTGTGGCTCCTCTGAGTAGGTTGAACCGGCAACCTTTTGATTAGTAGCCAAGTAGAAATAATTTTTATCATCCAGAATCCATTCCAGACCATCGCGGCGGATATTTTAAAAAACAACCAAAACAAAACCGCTCAGATTCATTGCAGTTGAGTCGGAACTAACTCATAGCTGACCCTCTGGTGGGTTTTCAGGAGGCTGTTCATCAAACAGGAGATTGCCCATCTTTTGCCTGTGCAGCTGCTGGTGGGTTAGAAGTGCCAGAGAGGATTTTGGATTTGGATTAACATCACAACTCCCTTCAGTCTCTGCCACACCTTAGCTCTGCCTACTGGGAGGAAAGACTACATTTAAGAAACAGAGGGCCTATCAGAAGCACATAGTCAACAAGGATGTTTGTGGTTCAGACACTGACTCCAGGAGTAATTGTTAGTATTTGTTGAGAACTCCAACTGTATCAAACGTGGTGTTAATAAGGACTTTGTGTATGTTATGACCACATGGGTAACTCAGAGTGTCCTTGCTCAAGCATCTTGCCAGTGAATCAAACTGTCTCTGTTGTGTAACTTTACCACCTAACAGGGTTCTATTTTTTAAAAACAAACAAACAAAAACTACATTTGAGGATTGAGCAGGAGAGAGGGGGCTTCTGTTTTAAAATGTAGCCATTGGAAGCCCACAACACATGCCTTATTCTCAGCTCAGTGATAGGCTGCTGTCAGTTTAATGTTTCCTGTAGGCAGTTTTGTTAGCATGGGGGAGAAAAGAGGATGAGTTACATAAAATGGCATCAGTGCATGTCGGGTTTTATGGGTTGTTTTGCTTTATCAAGTTAAACAGGCACAGAGGCAGGACTCTGAGGACAGGCTGTGAGTCACTGACGGAACCACAGAGCAAACTTCAGGGGACAAGTAACGAGTGGAGGTGAATCTGGAAGCTGTGTGAGGGGCTGTTAGCCCAGATTCCAACTCTTTTCAGTATAAAAGAATTCATTCTGCATTAAGTTTAAGATTGTGGTTTTAGGTCCGTAGAAGACAAGACAAAGATTTCTTGTGCCCTATGTGAAAATTTTGTCTGTGTTGAAACTGAATTTCTAAAAAGCCTTGACTTACTCTTACTTAGTCTCTTGGAAGGAATACTGATTTATGGTGGTTAGAGCACTTGGCTACTAAATAGAAGGTTAGTGGTTTGAACCCATCAACTGCTCCATGGGAGAAAGTTGTAGCAATCGGCTTCTATAAAGATTTTTAGTCTTAGAAACTTTATGGGCCAGGTGTCTGTCCTATAGGGTCACTATCAGTCAAAATCAACTTGACAGTAGTGCATTATTTGGTTTTTAATTCCTTTTTGAACTATCTCTCTTTTTTTTCTTTTTCTTTGTTAGTTCACTCTTCATCTACTCCATATATCCTCTTGGCCTTCATCCAGCTCTACCTGCCTTTGGTAAAAGTATTTTGTCAGGGCACTGGCTTTAGTGGCTACTAGGCAGTTTCAGCAGGAGACTAAAAGGGTGGCTTCAGCTGAGCCGTCAGTTCTGGGGGTTCCTTTGTGGATGTTTAGGGTCATGATTTCATGGGCTTTTCCAATTAATTGGCCTGTTAAGTGTGTCTGTTCTATCTCGTCATTCTGTGCACAGTGCAGCAAGTCTTAAAGACTTGCAAGTGACCCTCGAAGGCACAATAGTTGGCCTGTGTTTGCCTAGAGCAACAGAAGAAGGAAAGTCAGGAATAGGAGAAGGATATAGGATATGTGACTAATCGCTTCCTTTACCATGAGACCAGAAGAGCTAGATGGTGTCCATCTACTATTATGAAAATTTTAACCAAAGACTTCATAGAAGATTCCTGATCAAAAGAGAGAGTTATGCAGAACAGAATGTCAAACTGTCTAAAGCCTTTGAGAGTAGATGAACCCCTGTTACTAACTATTGCACTGAGATAATTTTTAAACTTTAAATCACAAATACTCCTTGAATTTTCTTAAGACAAAACAGGGGTTTAGTCTAATTAATAAAAAAAGGTTTACCTTGAACATTATACTATGTTAAGAACTATCTATATGGTATCGGATTGACAACAGGGCTCAGATTAGATCTGAATTTATGAGATAATAAGTTTGTAAGGGAGTAGAAACAGCTAAGAAAAAGAGTGAAAATGGTTTTCAACTCAAAAAGTGTAATGTTGCTAAATTATACATGCCAAAACTCTTAGTGTATATTTTGTTGTGTGTATTTTCAGCAATAACAAAACTCCATGCCCACACAATGAAATAGAAACTCTTCATACTGGCACTTGGACATGTTCTTTATTAAAGTCAGCTGCCCTTCTGGCCTGATATTGTCCACTAGTTCCTCCATATACTCTGCTTTCACCAACAGCCTCCTGCACACATTTGTGCTGTCATGATTTTGGATTTTGGCCTAGGGTATGCTTCCTGTCTGAAATGGCCTCTCCTCTATGTCCAGTCAAATCTCGGGTTCCTTGTCCAGGTCCCATTCCTCTTGGAAGGTTTTCCTCATGTCTCAGCTGGAAGAGCTTGCTCTTTCCTGCAGTTAACACAGTTTCTCAGCACAGAAGGAGTCCTGGTGGTATAGTGAGTTAAGAGTGTGAACTGCTAACCATAAGGTCAGCAGTTCAAACTCACTATCATAGTTCTGACCTCTTCTATAGGACCACTATGAATCTAAATCAACTAAAGCACAGTGACTTTGATTTGGGTTACATTCTCAGATAGGGTGACCACATAACTTGTCACTCACACCCTTTTGAGAGTAAAAGGGGATCCTATAAATAATTGAGCATTAATTGGCATAAACAAGAATAGCTTTAGGAAGACTATTGTCATGTGTGCATGCTTCATCCGTTCTGTTTTATTCAGGTTCCTTGAGGGCAGAAACTATGTCTTCTACTCTACAGTATTGCTCTACCTAGAGTACAGGATCTTATTTACAGAAAACACTGATGAATGAAGTAAGGAAAAAAGATCAAATAATAGGCTTAGTTGAATGGGTGGGAGGATGGATGGATGGATGGATGGATGGATGGATGGATGGATGGATAGGTGCTTGGATGGATAGATGAATGGATGGGTGGGTGGATGGATGGATGGATGGATGGATGGATGGATGAGTAGGTAGATGTGTGGTTTGATGGGTAAATGAATGGATAGGTAGATAAATAGATGAATGAGTGGGTGGGTAGTTGAGTGGATGGACAGATAGATAGGTAAGTGAGTGAAAAGAAGGTTGCATTGATTGGTGGATTAGTGGATAGGTAGATGAGTGGATGGATGAACAGATAGTTAAATGCGTCTCCAAAGTGCTTCATCTTTTCTCAAAGAATAAACGAGTTATTGATGACTGCACCACTTACATTAAAAAATTTCTCGTTTTATCAGTTAAAAAAAAAAAAAGAAAGAAACTTGAATTCTCCCAGTTGGTCTTAGCTCCTCCACCCTCACCCCTAGTTAAAAGTGTTTCTCTCAGCCTCCCTCTGTGGCCCCAGCTGGAGGGCAGACACACCCTGGCCTTCATTTCCATTTGGTTTACTGTGGATTACTCCAGGAGGCAAACTGTTTGCTTCCAGCAGAATGGCTTCCAATAAAGAAAGAAAAGATTCACCATCCAAGAAACAGCCTACTTGTTTGGACTAAACACAAATTGCACTTAAGTGGGAATGGTACAGTCCAATGGCAGGGAAACTGGGGCCCTCCTTTCCTTTCTAGCATTATTTTCTCTCTGCGTTCATCTCTCAGACACCCTAACTTTCCCATTATCAGGAATGCGAATCAGTTTTTTGGTGTTTTTCTAAAGCCTCTTTTTCTCTTCTCCTCCCAACCCCACTCCCCACCCCCATTTCAGAAACGAGAAGGAATCCTCCAGTCTCGGCAAATCCAAGAGGAAATAACTGGTAACACAGAGTATGTCAACACCATTGTTGCCAGAGATTCTGTAATGGAACACAGATGTTTCTCCAAAATTCATCCATTTGCTGATATTTAGTTTTCATTTATTAGGATTGCAAGAGGGATTAGACTTCAGCCAATGATTATAGTTTAGCCTTTTCCATGCATTCAAAACATGCCCCTCAATGCTTAAGGTACAAACTTGGGTGGGGAAGTGGGGAAAGGGAATTAGCAGTGATTGAAAAATTCTAATTTTATGGCACTCCAGGAAAAAAATGGGCCCCAAAAAGCCAACCAGCATGAAATCATCATGCCATAAACATGGGTTTGAATTTAAATTGTTAACCTTCAAAAGGACGTTTTTCTTCCTTTTCTGAATCTGATTTATTTGGTCACGTGCCATGACCCAGAAAGCCCCTCTCTACCCCAACATGTTTTTGTTTGGCTAGTCGTCCCCCTCCCCTTTTTCAATTGCTTTTAGAAATTGTGGTATCAGAACATACAAGAGTTTTGTCATGGCAGAGAGGAGTTTTATTTTTAATCAGAAAGAGCAAGGGGGTGTATGGGAGCCCAAGGTCCCAGGATAAGTCTGCTCCCAGCCACAGGCAGAGCCTGACCACAGACAAAGCTGGGAAAAGTTCAGTTCCAGCGTCTCCTGCTCCCCCACAATTGCTGGCTTCCCCTTGAATGACAGTAGCACAGTGGACAGGATAGAGGCCTGATTTGAGTTCCATTTCAGGTTTAACTACTTACTCATCAGGTAAGCTCCTTAACCTCTCCAGCCTCCATTTCTTCACTTCTGAAGTGGAGAGTATTTTCCTAATCTGCAGAGAGGTGGTGAAGACTCCATGCTGTTCCCTTCCCCTGTTCTGTGTTTCTGGTGTTCTTCCATCGCAGTTGACCCATTTCTGCCAAGCTGTGCCTATTCTCTAGGAAACTGCCTCCTCTCACTCTCCAGTAGTCTATCTGGTTGGACCTCATCAGAGACTGCTTTAGAAAAGGCCTTGGGCTGCAGGCATTTCAAGGCAAGGGATAAGGACAGAAATGAGGGGTGGCCTTTCCCAAGACTGCACCAACGTATGTAGACCTCATCAGGAAGGTTCCATACTATACCAAGGGCAAGCCATGGCAGCTGATGGACAGAGCAGTTTTTGGCCTTGATTCCTGGGAGATGGCTGGGTTAGACCTGATGAATTCCTCACTGTTCTGTCCTCCACCTCACATCACCCCTTGTTGAACTTAACTGTGCTATTTCACCTGGAAAATAGTGTCAGCATACCTGAGAGAGCATGGCCAGTGACAAACTCCTGGGTCAGGGAGCATGACATCTCCAGGATGAGTTCTCTCAGCTGCATGCTGAGTTTTTCCTCTCTCTCTCTCTATTATCTCTATCACAAAGACATAAGCATTGATACAGCCTTCTAATAATTAAAATACAGTTCATGAAGCACTCGCATCTTATTGATGTTCGTAAGAAACACATAGAACAATGATTAAATTCCGTAAAGCCTCCAAGTCTAGACGTAATGAAGAAGACTATATCCCTGATCTGAGTAAGTCAATGCCAAGTTCATTGTTCTTTTCAAGATGCTATCCCTAATTGATTATTTGGTAGGTGATCGATGTATGCTTGGAATAAACCAATATTATTTTTAAAAAAAAAGCAAAACAAGATTGTACAAGAGGGGAAATATAAGTCTTTATACTGGGCATTATGCTAAAATCTTTGTACATAGTAAATCATTTCTTGCTAACAGCATCCCACTACGGTGTCTAATATTATTATTCTCATTTCCAAAATAAGAGATACGCAACCCAGAGAAGTTAAATAATTGGCCCAAGGTCTGATAGCTAGCAAATCGCTCAAAACCCAAAACCAAGCCCACGGTTCAGAATCTATTTTGACTCATGTTGCTCCTCCACTGCGTGTTCCAAGGCTGTAAAATATCACAGAGGAAACTGCCTAAACGTTCTCTTTAAAGGTGTTTGGTGGATTTGAGCCACCAAACGTTTGGTTAATAACCTAATACTTTCCACACTGTGCCACCTAGAGCTCCTTTGTTGTTGTTGTTATTGTTGTTGTGTACCATCAAGTTGGAACTGACAGATAGTTGACACTCTGGTGAGTTTTTGGAGGCAGTTAATCACACAGGAGGCGATTGCCTGTCCTTCTCCCACGGAGCAGCGTGGGAACTCGAACTGAGTGCCTTCAGGATTGCAGCACAGCTACTTACCATCAGGCCACCAGAGCTCCTTTAGGGAGATTTAACATCTAAGTGGTCTGTTTCTAATGCTGATGCTCTGATTATTTTGCTGTTTCACTGCTACAAGTGTAGACACAATTCCTGCCCTCTTTCAAGGAGTGCTGGTGGCATAGTAGATGGTGTATTGCACTGCTAACTGAAAGACTGGTGGTTCAAATCCATCAGCTGCTCCTAAGAGGAAAATGGGAAACCCAACCAAGGCCCTCAACTTGATGGCACTGGGGGTTTGAGGATGGGTCGATTGCAAGTGGAGTTTGGTTGGCATTACAGCACGTGTGGGAGAGAGACAAAATGAGCAGTTGCCATGGCAGCATTTCCACATCGGGATTTGCTGAAACAAAAACGACCCCTAATATTTATTTAGCCATCTTGAACCACTGAGTCGATATTCTTTCTCAACTGGAAATAATAATGTGATTTTACTTAAGACAAGAAATAGTCCTATAAACATCATTGTACAAACACTATTTTATCTGTGTTAAAGGGGGTTGGGGGGGTGGGGAATGATACATGGTAGTAATATGACAAGCCTGAATGATTAAGAGGACTTAACACCAAATAAAATGCTCCAGAAAAGAGAGTTCTGAATTCTTCAGCTAAGCACCGACTAGTGCCAGGTTACCAGGGGTGGAATTTGTTTCCTCTCTCAGGCAGAGACCAAGGAGAGAAGAATGACAATATTTTCTTTTCCTTTTCCTCCAGGGCTCTTTCCGGACGGCATGGTGAGTTACTCAAGATTGTGCTGGGGTATTGGTGGCTGCCACGGTGCTCCAGTTAGTACTGCAGCCTGGACAAGTGTGGGCACCCAGCTTAAGGCCAGTTGCATAGGGAGGAGCCACCTACTGTTGCAAAAAAGAAAACTACCCATTTTAACAGTCTTCTTGAAGTGGTCAGACCGTTGGCCTTACTGGGCTTCCACCTGGGTCCTGGGCATTTGCAGGGCAGTTTTACTCCAAGTAAGGGAGTTATCTTAAGGGGTCTGTCCTCTCCCCCTCACCCCACTCTTCTACAAACCATCTTCTTCTTCCCCCATCATCATAGCTCCGACCTCCCCATTTCACAGAGGTCTTTAGATCTAAGTTTGTGAATGTCCGAATTTGTGATCCGCTTTGTGGCAATCTTGACGCTGCCCATCCATCTGTGTGAGAAGGTAGAGAAGGGCAGACATGCCTCTCTTATCACCTCAGATCACTGCTACAGTTTCTCAGTTGGGAAGTATGAAGCTGGAGCAAAGACAATCCCATAAAGCAGGATACCTGTTAGACTTTCTATGATCCTGATGCCATGGATAATATTAATATTTTAAATGTTCCAGTTGTGTTCAAAAGAAATCATGTCAGCTGAGCATTTCAGAGTTTATGGAGCACCGTCACGTGTGTTCTCAAGAGCCCTTTACCCTCATGACAACCTTGGGGGAATTTCGTTTTTCCGATGACAGTTTAGAGATGAAGAAACAGGCTCAGAGAGTTGAATTGACCTAGCGCAAGGTCACTCTGGAGAAAGCTCGTGTTCCACCTTGGGGCTCCCTGACTCAATCCTTTTATCTGTGCACTCTGCCGTGATGTTTGTCTTGGGTGTCTTGTTTTTTGGTGGGTTTTTTTTTTCAACATTAGAGAGTGAGATGATCTGATATTTAGCTAAATTTCTCCCTTTAAAATGTCTCAGAAATGCATCAAAACTGTGACAGTCGTGATACCAGTGTGTGCTGTCAATGCCGACCCCTAGCCGCCCTACATGATGGCATCGAGCTGCGCTGTAAGGTTTCCTCAGCTGAAATCTCTATGAGAGCAGATTGCAGGGCTTGTCCCTCAGAGCGAGTGATGGGTTTGAACCACTGGCTTTTAGTGAGCAGTGGAATGCTTAACTATTATGCCTCCAGGACTCTAAGAGTCATGATATGATGGAACAGAAGTAGTGAAGAGAAATGACCAATCCCAGGTCATACTGCCTGACAGAGCCACTTCCCCTCAACAGAGGGTTTCCCGTGTAGATATGCACGAGGGGTGAGGCTCCCATGGTAAGAATCCACTTCATACCTCAGCCCCAACCCCAAATTCCAGAGTTCCAAACATCATCTCACACCCCTAAGATTTCCTTTCTGTCGCCGATGCCCTTTAAAGCTGGTGGGGTTGGACTTTAAAGCTGAGGGTGGATTTCCCAGGAGGTTTCTTGCTGCTGTAACTCCCCACTTTTTGTTTTCCTCTTTTCTAGAACGTGATGCCTTTGACACGTTGTTCGACCATGCACCAGACAAGCTCAATGTGGTGAAAAAGGTGGGAAAGAGGCACCTGGGAGGGTGGTGCAGCCCAAACAATAGGAAAACCTGAGCCTGCAGCTTACAAACTTCCTGCTGCAGCTGGCATGGCCGTCAGATCATGCAGCACAAAGCTTTCCTTCTTGATGCCATTTTACCTCTCATCTCGCTGATACTTAATCCTGCCTGGGGCGCTGACACACTCTGTTCTCCTATCTGCTCCAACACCAGCCTGCCCGGCTCCTCACTCGGGTCCTTCTGTCTCCAAGGCGCAGGGGCCGGCCCCTAACAAGAAGGGAACCTATGGGTTGATTATTTCACTGGACCCTTTCCCTTAAGTTCACCCTGGCCCTGGGCACACACATGTGCTTTGTCATTCTTCCTCTTTGGTTTTCCTGAAGAAATATTGCTCCTTTCATAGTCCTGCTGTTGCCAATTGGGATCCCATGTCGGATGGAACCACAGAACTGGGCCAGCCGTTCCTGTTCTCGCTGGAACTGGGGAGCTTTATGGGAACCATGTTCTCTGGGGCCCGGCTGCTCGTGTGCACTCAGCTCTTTCTCGGAACCCCTGGCCCCATGCTCCTGTCTAGCCTGGTCCTGTGTGCTCACACTGATCCCTGTCCCCAGGGCAGAGTAACAAAAGTGGCCTTCCAGGATCTGACCTCGCGGCCTTACACCTCACATTTCTGACTTCTCTTTCAGACACTCATCACTTTCGTGAACAAGCACCTAAATAAACTAAACCTGGAAGTGACAGAACTGGAAACCCAGGTAGGGGACATTCCTGAGCACAGGACAAGGGTGGGGGAGCCCAGTCATTGTGTGAGGCCACCAGGGGAAGTGCCCCCAAACCACAATCCCCCTCCCTGCGTCATTGGGAGAGTCCATCTGATGATCTTGAAGTTTTCCCCTGCAGTGAAACCAGATGGGATTTCCCTTTTAATTTTTCCCAGCTTTATATTTTGAAAATTTCTAAGAATGTCACAATAAACATCCATATACTCTTTACTTGGAATGTTGTAACCAAATGTTAACATTTCATCACTTTTTTGCCTCTTTCTCAGCCCCACTATACCTATCTTAATAACAAACACATTCTCTTAGATAACAACAATATAATTATCAAGTCTAGGATATTTCTATAATAGCTATCCCAGAACACTTGATTGTGCTTTTGCAAAGCCTATACTTAGACCAAGAGGCATTGGTCATAATCGTGCAGGGAGACACTGCATGGTTCAAAATTGGGAAGGGTGTATGCCAGGGATGAGTGATGTGTCCTATCTCCATACCTTTTCAATCTATATGCAGAACAGATTATCCGGGAGTCTGGACTCTTATGAGGAGAAATGTGGCATCGGGATTGGAGGTAGACTCATTAACAATCTGCGTTATGTAGATGACACAACCCTGCTTGTTGAAACTGTGGAGGACCTGAAGCACTTGCTGCAGAGGGTCAAGGACTGCAGTCTTCAATATGGATTGAAGCTCAACATCAAGAAAACAAAGATTCTGACCACTGGGATGATTGGCAACATCATGACAGATGATGAAGAGATTGAGATTGTTAACAACTTCAGTTTGCTTGGCTCTACAATCAACACTCTAGGCACCAGCAGCCAGAAAATAAAGAGATAAATAGCATTGGGAAAGTCTGCTGTCAGAGACCTCTCTAAAGTACTGAAGAGCAATGATGTCAGTCTGGAAACCAAGGTGTGCCTGATACAGGCCATGGTCTTTGCAATTACTTGTTGCTACACATCGAAAAGCTGGACGATGACTAGGAATGCTAGAAGGAGAATCGATGCCTTTGAGCTGTGGTGCTAGAGAAGAATACTGAATACAGCATGGACTGCTAGAAGAACAAACAAGTTTGTCCTAGAAAGGGTGACACCAGGCTGCTCCTTGGAGGCAAGGATTCTGAAGTTTCATCTGACATACTTTGGACATGTTGCAAGGTGGACCAGTCCTTGGATAAGGTGTGGAGGGACAGCACAAGAGAGGAAAACCCTCAATGAGATGGATTGATTCAATGACTAGGGTAATGGGGGTAGGTGTATCAGAGACAGTAAGACTGGCACAGGATAGAACAGGGTTTAGGGTTGTTGTACATAGGGTCGCTATGAGTCACAGGCAACTTGACTGGCACATAACAACAGCAACAGGATATTTAATATCAATATAATGCATCAATCTACTTGGGTTAAGCTCTAAAATTACTCACATTTGACTGTATTTGGCTGGTAAAAATGGCGATCACATATGGTTCAAAGGAAAACTTTGATGACCACATGTTGTCAACTGTCCCTATATTCTCGTACACTGCATTTAGTAGCCATGCTTATTTTTTTAATAAAATTTTTCATTTTCTGGACGATTTATCAACAATCTGCGTTATGCGGGTGACACAACCCTGCTTGCTGAAACTGAAGAGGACCTGAAGTGCCTGCTGCAGAGTGTCAAGGACTGCAGCC